CGCCTGGCAGGCAGCGCGCAGGGCAGGAGGGCCGCGGAGGACCCCGCGCGGGGGTAGGGGGCCACATGCGAACCCTACCCCTACCCCCCACGACTTCTGAGGGGGAGGGTGGGGTTCACTTCGCTGGGGAGCTCCCCAGCGAAGTGACCCCCCCCCCTCCGCAGAAATCATGGGGGGCAGGGGTAGGGTTCGCATGTGGCCCCCTAGGGGGCCAAGCGGCGAGGCCGCGGTCCTGGGGCTGCACGGGGCGCTTCTTCGCAGAGGCCCCGCGCGGAACGCATCCGCGGGACCGCGCCACGGAGTCCAGACAGCCAGTGTGGGAAAAGGCTGCATAAACAGAAGCCTGCGGCGCTCCGCGCGGATTTCGTGGATCTGCGATGGACCCGCCTCCCTGGCGCGCGAAGCGCGCCTGGGGCGGCGCCAGAGGCGCCGCCGGGAGGGCCTGGCGCGGATCCAAGAAATCCGCGCGGAGCGCCAAAAGTTTGTGACTATGGCGTCTTGCTTCTTCCAGGATAGGAGGAGGAGGAGGAGGAGGAGGAGGAGGAGGAGGAGGAGGGATGTCACGGCACGTGGCCAGCGGCGCTCCGAGGCAGCGACGACGGTGCAGCGCCGGGTGCGCGGGTGGCACGGGCGGCGCAGGGTCGCCGCTGCGCGGGCGCTTCGGGCGGAGGTCGTGGAGCCGCGGGCGGGGGCCACCGCTGTGCAGCAGCCGGGGGCCCCCGAGCACTCGGCCGGCCCAGCCCCAGCAGCGCCCCTCCCCCTCCCCACCCTCCCCCATCCCTTCTCCTCTCCTCCTCCTCCTCCTCCGTCCTCCCCTCCTCCTCCACCTCCTCCTCCTCCTCCTCACTCCTCCTCCTCCTCCTCTCTCTCCTCCTCCTGCCTCCTCCTCCTTCCTCCTCCTCCTCCTCCTCCTCCTCCTCCCTCCTCCTCCCTCCTTCCTCCTCCTCCTCCTCCTCCTCCTCCTCCTCCACCTCCCCACCTCCTCCTCCTCCTCCTCCTCCTCCTCCTCCTCCTCCTCCTCCCCTCCTCCTCCCCTCCACCTCCTCCTCTCCTCCTCCTCCTCCTCCTCCTCCTCCCCTCGCTCCTCCTCCTCCTCCTCCTCCTCCTCCTCCTCCTCCTCCCTCCCACCCTCCTCCTCCTCCTCCTCCTCCTCCTCCTCCTCCTCCTCCTCCTCCTCCCCTCCTCCTCCTCCTCACTCCTCCTCCTCCCCCTTCCTCCTCCTCCACCTCCTACCTCCTCCTCCCTCCTCCTCCTCCTCCTCCTCCTCTCTCCTCCTCCTCCTCCACTCCTCCCCTCCTCTCCTCCTCCCTCCTCCTCCTCCTCCTCCTCCTCCTCCTCCTCCTCCTCCTCCTCCTCCTCCTCCTCCTGCGAGAAGCACACGGGAGCGCGCGTGAAGCAGCTCGTGGACGACGACGGCGCCGCGCCGGACGAGGCGCTGCACACGGCGGCGGCTGAGGCCGTCGCGTTCGGCCAGCCGTGCTCCCTGAGCGGCCAGGGCAGGGCAGGGCGCCGGCGGCCTCGGAGCAGGCGTGCACCCGCGCAGCGCACGGACAGGTCCGCGACCAGGAGAGCATATTGGAGGGCCAGGGCAGGACGCTGTGCACCTTCGGGGCGGGGTGGAGCGCACTCGGTGCTGGGGCGGAGGGGGACAGCGCCAGCAACCCCCAAGGCTGGCAGGCAGGCTGGCAAGGCGGTGGCGAAGGCGAAGGCAGCTTTCGCAGCCAAGGCAGACAGCATGGCGGAGCTGGAGCAGCAGGTGGCCCTGGCGCGCGCGTTGGAGGCCGAACCAGTCCTGGCAGCAGCCGAGGCTGAGGGGGCCATTAAAGGCGGCGGCCGAGCAGCTGGTACGCCCGCCGGTCTTGGAGAGCTCCCAAGGGAGCCGCGCCCCGCGCGAGCCGATGGGCCGCTGGGCAGGGTTGCGACCGTGGCCTGAGGCAGAGCCCACAGGTCCTCATGGCCCAGTGCATGGGTGAACCAGAAGGGTCCCTGGACCTCTCCCAGGATGCGTTCTGATCAGAACTTCGAAGCAAGTCCAGCGGTGGCGACGAGGGCCTCCCAGGCGGCCCAAAAGGGGGAAAGCGAGGGAAAAGCCAGCAGTATGGGTACCTCTTCCTCCCCTGGAGGGTGGCGACCGTGGCCTGAGGCGGAGCCCGCAGGTCCGCCGGGCCAAGTGGCGGATTCTGGGCACCCTGAACCCAAAAACGTTGTCGTCTCTTCGGGGGGGCAATTCTTACTTCCGCCACCTTCCGCCGCCCTTCCGCCGCCCTTCCGCTGGCGGAACCAGCCTCGTTTCACCTCCGCCGACCTTCCGCCGCCTCCGCCGAGGAAGAGATGACCACTGTTTCGATCCTCGAAGGCGATGCCCATTCTGGAACGCCTCAAATGATGCTGGAGGGGGCCGCGCCGTTCGTCGACGACCTGGCGCCGCCCCTCGCGGTGCGCGGTGCTCGGTTTCCGCGTGAGGAGTCGGGGCCTGGTGCGCCAGGCCGCCGCGAGGACGTCGTCCTCGCCTTCGGTCTTGCCCACTCCACTCCACACAGGGACTCCTCCTCCATCCCTTTCCTCATCAGTAGCTCATTTATTATTTGATTCGAGATACTCTTATGTTCAACCAAATTAGGTGTTAAATATGATAATACCATTACTAATTATACTTATATTTCTACGTCTATGTATAATTCTACTTATATGTATACGTCTACTTATACTTCTACTTCTACTATTACCATTACCACTACCACTATCACGACTACTACTACTACTACTACTACTACTACTACTACTACTACTACTACTACTACTACTACTACTACTACTACTACGACTATTACTACTACGACTACGACTACTACTACTACTACTACTACTACTACTACTACTACTACTACTACTACTACTACGACTACGACTAC